CACCCCAACTTTTAGAAGTTATTTATTTAATGAATTATTAGGAGTAATAGTGAAAAATTGATGTTTTATATGATTATATGTGTGAAGTGTTGGCATGTGGTTGCTTATGACGTGGAACATGTGATGTGAATAAAGGGATTAGATGCATTGGAATAATTAGATGATTATTTAATAATTATTGGATTATTATTGAGAATATAATAATAGGAATAATTATTTAAATGATTGTTTTAATTAGAGTGGTGTGTTGGTAATTAGAAGAAAGAGTGAGGACATGATGGTAATTTGGGGTTGGCTAAGTAAGGGCAATTGAGGAATATATTAGAGGTCTTTTGTGATAACATAGAAATAGAGAGAGTTATATGATTCAATCTATGCAATCAAAATATTGGAAGAAGCGCAAGAGAAGAGGCTAGGGAACAGAGATTGAAGGAGATCATTGTAAGAGGCACGGAGAACATAATCAATTACTCGAAACAATAAGGCAAGGGGTTTTTATCTGGTTATTATGTTTGATCTAAGTGGTAGATAGATGTAGGATTCACCCTTAGTATTGACAATGGTGATTTGATGTTGTTAGGTTAGGATTTGATGGAATTGTGATGATAGATGACCCGTAATTGTTGTATAATTGAGGTATTTTACCAAGTTGTTATTATGTGATGATTCCCCATGATCAGATAGTGTTTAGGACCTGTCACATGATGAAATCGCAGGGAAAATTAGTCTGGTGCAGTGCAGAATCGCAAATAGGAAAACCCTGTTCGTAGAGAATCGTCGGGCGACGGTCTCTGTGTCACTGGGCGACAGTGTTTCTCCAGGAGAAGGTGGGGAGAGCCAAGGAAGGAAAATGGGGTGTTGGTCTCTGTAATGTGTCGTCGGCCGATGGATGGGTTTTGTTGGGAGATGGTTCGCAGAAGTGGAAGGTTGGACTGAAATCTTGAAATAAGCATAACTTTAGTTCTAGAGCTCAGAATGAAGTGTCGTTCGAAGATTTGCGTAGCTAATGTAGTATACTATAATTAGGTGAAATAAAATGGAGATTTATGAATATTTTTATAATTCCTAAGTTAGAGTAAGAATAGGTTCCCCGTATTGAATTGCAATGACGGTTTGTTTAACTATGATGATATGTTGCTATTATGATTATGTGATGATGTTATGACAATATTTTGATTACATGGGTATATATGATGATTACATGAGTATACATGATGATGTTTTGTGTATTATGTTGATTAATACATGAATGATGATGTGTATGACTAGTTGTGGTCGTTTATATTTGTTGTTGCGCATCATGCATTAATGGGACAACTTTGGTCCATTTGGATGATTTAGGATGTTGGTCCAGTGATTTGGTTTTGATGATTTAGGACATTGGTCCAGTGATTTGGTTTTGATGATTTAGGATGTTGGTCCAGTGATTTGGTCTCAATCCCATTGTGTGGATTTGGGATGTCTATGATTTGCTCTGGTTCCAAGTGAAAATCAGTCCTATGATTGAGTTCTTTGGAGGGTGATGGCTCAGTGTCCATCAAATGAATTGGTACCATATGCATGAGTCTTTGTCCTTGCACTACATCTTATGTGGCATTATATGGTTTTTGAATTGATGATATTGTGTTGTATTGTTGAATTTGTATGATTGTTGACGTACTTGGGATATAATAATGCTGAGTTTATGTTGTGATACTTTTGGTTTATTCTGCTATGTCTATTACTTATGTCTTATATAATGATTGTGATAAACTTACCCTTTCTGCTTGAATGTTGCCTCTACATGGATAACGTGCAGGTAATCAAGAATAGTCCCTAAAGGCTTGGAAGAATAACTTTGGAGTGTGATCTATTTATGTTGAGTCTAGAAGGTTTTTCTCTGATATGTGACATCGGGGACGAGAATGCTTTATTTTGAAAACTATTTTGTTCTTGTTTTGTTATGACATTTAAATTGTTTCCATGGAGTTTAAATTATTTTGAATTGTGAACCATGAATCACGGGGCACTATGAAGTGTTTTGAATGAAACTTGTCTGAACTATGATTCCGTTACAAGTATGTGAAATATTGATAATGCATATGTCATGAATAATTTTGAAAATCCGTGTTACGGAGTAAGACTAACATGTATGATTATTTTACGAATAAAATATGACGCCCTTTTGTTGTATTACTCTGATATTATTTTATATAATTCTGAATATTCTATTGAGTTTAGAAGGTGTTACATGCAGCGCCTGTATTGAGTCCTGAACTCTTTTCCTTTCGACAATCCCCATCTCATGCGCCTCCAATGAACCAACCAAACCTTCCACTTTTGTGGTTTCAATATTGTTGGATTTTTTAATAATTACGATAATATGATCAAAGTGAGAGGTCAATGTTCTCATTACCTTATCAACTATCATCTTATCAGTTATGGTTTCACCATAATCCTTCATGAGATGGACAATTTTTTGAACCTTCGACACATATTCTGCAACTTTTTCGTCTTCTCCCATCGATAATAACTCATATTATCGACGCAAGTTTTATAACTTGACAACCTTGACTTTCTCACCTCCTTCTTAATACTTTACCAAAATATCCCATGCTACCTTCGCTGTTTCAGTATGAGAGATTTTATTGAAGTTAGCAACATCGACCGTCGTCTGAATACAATAAACAACCTTGCAATCTTTCTTCTTGACCTCATTATGGATTTTTTTCTGTTCATCGGTTGCATTTGCAGTCAAGGTAGAAATATTGGTAACCAATTCTAGAGTTTCATGGAAGCCAAACAAGTATTACATCTGTTTTTTCCATCGGATCCAATTCTTACTATCAAGCATTGGAAGAGAATTCAAAATGCCCTTATCATTAGCTTTATTCGCAACAGTTGATTCACTTGCCTTAGAAACACGATCTCTGACGTGAAATTCTTGAAAACTCGATCAAAAACAATAACTGAAAACTCTAGATACCAATTTGTTAGTGCGGAAGTCACTTTTAATGAGGAGAGAATAAAGATAGAATAAAGAAATAAAAATTTATATTATTGAATTGTATAAATAATGATACAAATTACAACTATTTATATATAATCTTAATTGAACTTAAATCCATATAATTTAAATTATATTTAAATAAATTTAATTTAATATTTTAACAAATTTAATTTAATATTTTAAAAGATATAATTAATCTGAGCAAATATTATGATCGATAAAACTACCTTTATCCACCCATAAACAAAAAAGTTTCAAAAGTTTCAAGTGATATTTGTTTAACCTTTTACAAACCATTATTTCCTTCTAATTTTGAATTAAGAAATGATTTTGAGCCGAGATTACCGGGATAATTTGTGGGCCACCAACCCAGAACAAAGACTTGGGTGGGTGGTTTCATTTCACGTGTATTCAACTCTGAACGCCGACTTTTATTTATTATTATCGCAAATAAGAAGATTATGCAATCACATTTTAGCTAACCACATTAATTAATAACACTTCAAATGGGACCTAATAGCGTTGTTCATTTACACTGCTATAGTGTTGTGGAATGAATGTCTCTGTTTTCAATAGGCCACTCCACATGTGTCTTGAAAATGATTAACTCACGCGGCAAATAATACTATTCCAATGATTTTACTATATAAATAAAAATTACTACATGTGTCTTTGTTTTGCGTATTTTTAAAATATGTTTTATGATATAAAATAAAAACAGTTTTAATTGATTATCGTTTTTTGAAAAGAGAGAAAACAACAAAATTCAATTCTCATTTGCAAAAAAAAAGATTTTTAAAATAAAATATTTAAATGAAATAAAATAGATATTTATTTATAATTTCTGATAAAAAATGTATTTTTTTTTATAATAAATAGTTAATATCCTTTCTCTTTATTATAAAAGAAACTTATATTTTAATATATTAAATAATTTATAAGATTGTTTAAAAGAATCGTCAAATTAATCGAGCCAAACTATAGTTAAAAAAATCAGAACAATTATATTTAATAAGTAAATCAAACCATACACAAATAGTTTAAGAATCAAATTAAATGACAAATAAACGAATATGAAAAATGGAAAAAGCTTTAAAAACTTAAAATTTTGTATTAAGTTTTTTATATTAAAAAAAGATATTCATTCATTTAAATTTAAAAAATATATAAGTTATTATAAATTTAAGATTATTAAAATTGGAAAAAATAAATTTGTAAATAATTTTACAGTATCTAAGTTAATAACATACAACGATAATATAAAAAATATCTATAAATACAACAAAATAAAATTGTTAGTTAATTCGATAATAATTGACGTTTGATTTGATAAGGAAAACTACAGTTTATTAACAGATGAATCGTGATTTGAGAGAAAAGTTGAGAAGATGAATTCTAAAGTTAAAGTTTTATTAATTTTTTTAAAAAATCAATATTTCTGTTAAATTAAATTGTCTTTTAATCATTGAATTGGTTTAGAATTCTAATTAAATCGGTTTAAAATTCTGAATCAGGTTATCAAATCAATAATTTAAATTTAATTGAATTATAAATAAATTAATACTGTTTAGTTTATTTGAATAATATTTTATTATAATTCAGTTTGATTTTTAAATTAGAATAATTTAAGTAAAATTAATTAATTATAGATTCTAGTTTGATGTTATAGTATTAAAATAAAAAAGAGGGGGATTCCTTGGCAGAAGGGACAAGAGTGTGAAAAGGAAAAGAGTGAAGTTTTTTTTGGAGAAAGAACAAGTGGGGTCCATAATTATGATGACGTGGATAGATTCAACAAACAACAGTAGCAAACCCAATTGCATTCAACACAACGTTTTCTTCATTTCACCCAACAACACAATTCTCTCTCTCTCTCTCTCTCATATGTTATGTTATCATTTCATTCATTTACTAGTCAAAGCTTACAAGTAAACTTGCAATTGAACACTTTCACCATCCTTTCATCTTCTGCATTATACTCCTACCTCCACCTTAGACTCACAGAGATCCAATGGACTATGAGAGGATAGAGAAAGTTCAGGTTTGTTTCTTACCAATGTTTCTTGATTTCATCTTCTGTTGTGTTTGTTCCATTTTTCTTGTCAAAATTTGATTTTTTTTTTTTTCTGTTTCACAAAATGGGTGGTTGGAAAAATGCTCCATTTTTCTCTCATTTATTATTATTTGGGGTTTTGAATTTCAAAGTTTGTGTTTCTGTTACTGGAATAGTAATAATCAATTATGTTTTTCCAAGCAAAAACTACAACTTTTTTGCTTCCTCTACTTTTGGGTCAATGGAAAAAGCTTTAATTTGTCATGATTATTTGTTCAGTGCGCGGGAAAAAGGTAAAAAGGAAAAAAATTGAGAAAAGAGTTGGATTTAAGTTAGATTTTACATGAAATTTGATAAACCTTTTTGTTCTTTTTGAACCTGCAGACTGGAATAATTTCTCCTAGTAAACTTCGGATGAAGTTATTAGGGGCTAGAAAGAAAGATGGATCCAACAGTAACTCTTCTAGAACCTCCCCTGCAAGGCTCGAGGATGCTGAATTTGTCGATAGCTTACTTTCCTCCAACATTGACAACCTCCATGATGAAGGTTCGCTATTGCAATTTATTTTAAAAGACGTGTCTGGTGTCTGTTATGCGTCTCTGTGTCTAATACTAACACATGCGGTTATATTCAGTTTTTCTATTTTCTCAAAGTGTTGTGTTAGTATTGTGTCTGTGTCAATGTCGGTGTTTAGTAAAATTTAGAATGTAACAGACAAAATTTATCCCGGGTTGTGTTTTGTTGTGTTTGTGTTTGTGTTTGTAAGTGTTGGACTGTGTAATTTTTGGGTCTAACTAAAACATGTTTTGAATAGTTGCTTCTCCGAGTTTAGATGTTGTTGCGGCATTAAAGCCATTGAGTGATGCAGTGCTGGAGCGGAAACAGAATGGGCAGTTTTTGAATGAACCAAAGGAGACAATGCCTAGGGAAAACAGTGACACGGGGCGCGTAAAGATGCAGCACTTTCATAAAGTTGACACTGGAAGTTCGAGCACAATTCATCCGGTGAGGTCAATAGAAGATGATAATCTTGATTATGACAGCCAAGCTAGCTCGTCGAGTTTTGAGTTTGATAAAGGAGAGAGACCGGTGAGCAATCATGTAACTAGATCTCTGTTAAGGCCTATTCCTTCTAAGTGGAACGATGCCGAGAAATGGATAATGAATCGGCAACATATGCAACCTAGTTACTCGAAAAAGAACAACGTACATAGCCAAGCAAATCGTTTACCAATAAGTATGGCGAGGGTTGTTCCAGAGTCCGGAAATTTTGATCATAAGCTCCTAACGAGCAAGGTTACTGAAACAAAACGAGTTGATTACTGTCAACCACATACGGGATTTGAGAAATTCTCTTTTGTTCCGTCCGATGCTCATTCGGTTTCAGGCCAAGCACATGGAAAAACTCCAGTAGTGGAATCGTTTCCCCAAAGCAAAGATTTAAAGGAAGTAAATGAAGTTGATTTACCGTGCACAACTATAGATGATCAAACAGGTATGTTGAACTTCTCATTCTACAAATCACTTTTATCCAATTTGCATACGAATATATGTCGCATTACATTGGTTTTGTCCATAGGTGGCGTAATAAGAGTGTAGATAGTAAGATTAACTTGTTCTTATGATGCAGCGATTCCTGGTATAAGATCTGTAGCAATGAGAGACATGGGAACCGAGATGACCCCGGTGCCAAGTCAAGAACCTTCGCAGACAGCTACTCCTGTTGGGTCAGCAACTCCAATACGCAGCCCGATTTCATCGACGCCTTCAACTCCTAGGAGAGGTGCACCAGCTTCAACGCCTTTGGGCAACACAACTGATGAGGATGGCAGCAAAAGGCAATTGTCTGAAGAAGAAGTGAAGATTAAAACCAGGAGAGAGATCGCAGCACTAGGTGTGAAGCTAGGGAAGATGAATATTGCGGCGTGGGCAAGTAAAGATGACCACAACAATGAAAAATATTCTGCTCACGACACACACACTCAAGAACAGGAGAGGATCGAATTTGAGAAACGCGCTGCTTCGTGGGAGGAAGCTGAAAAATCTAAACATGCTGCAAGGTTTCTATTTTACTTGCGTTATCTCTAGACTAAATAAAACCTTGTTTTTTAAATGTAACTATAAATGCCAAAATTTGCAGATTTAAGCGCGAAGAAATCAAAATTCAAGCATGGGAGAGTCAGCAAAAGGCCAAATTAGAAGCTGAAATGAGAAGGACAGAGGTAGTTATACTTTTGCATAGTCTGAAACAACAATCTTGCATTTTTGAAACCTATCTGATTTGAACACTGATTGAAACTATAGGCCAAAGTTGAGCAAATGAGAGCCCAAACACATGCAAAAATGGTGAAAAAGATTGCTATGGCGAGGCAAAGATCAGAAGAAAAGCACGCAGAAGCCGAAGCTAGAAAAAATAGAGAAGCAGAAAGAACTGCAGCGCAAGCAGAATACATACGGCAAACAGGGAAAATGCCGAATTCGAATTACATTACATGTTGTGGCTGGCTGTGATATATAAACATTGCAATTTGAAGACTAAAAAATGGCATATCATCTTTATACCAAACCTTGTAATTTTCAAACACTGAGTGTTTGCTGACTGATAATGTTTACAGGTCTGTTTTTCATTTTTAAAAAGGAAAAATTGAATTGCTTGTTTTAATATATACCTGGTTGTTTTGTATAAATGTACAACTAAAAGAACCCAACCAACATAATTATAAGGTTCACAAATAATAAAGTTTCACACCTTGAATTCAAACTAAAAAAATACAAAATAAAATCAAGTACTTCATAATACAATAAACAAGTTCTAACTAATTACTACTATTGGTATAACATGAATTACCATAAAAAGAAAACTTGCTGTAGCGCAACTTATAACAATATGTTAGGTGGACTTTAAAGTTTTTAAAAGGTTAGCCATGAATAACGTTTTGACAATTATGACCAAAATAACTACTGCTTCAAACCCCATGAATGCTAGTTTCCATTTTTTTGGAATGCTCTTTCCATTCTTATGTATTCTTCACCATTATGAAAAGTCACGATTGTCTCTACGGTTCAGAGATGTATCTTTGGATGTATTTTTTTAAGTCATTTCTCATATCAAATTGAAAAGATACTATTATGTCAAAATTTAATTCGGAGATGCATTGTCGTATGCGTAAAAGGTAAGTCTAAAGATGTATCTCTGTAAACACCATTTATTCAAAATTTAGTGGGTGATCCGGAGATGCTTCTTCAAATGCTTTTGTTTCATATCCTCGCGCCAGACCTTCCCTCTTCCTCTGTCTTCATTTTCTAAAAAAAACTAGTCATTCTTTCAAGCTTTTGAGCTCTCACATCCATTCAAGCTTCTCTCTATAGCAAACTTCTACAATTGAAGCTCTTTCTCTTCTTTTCTAGCATCTCATACATTTATGCTTCTACTTCTCATCAATTTGATTTGGTAAGCTTTTCAAAATTATATATATATATATATATATATATATATATATATATATATATATATATATATATATATATATATATATATATATATATATATATATATATATATATATATATATATATATATATATATATATATATATGTTTTGATTTGTAGTTAGTTATTTAAGCTACATTAGTTATTTTAGGTACATTAGATAGTAGCGTAACCGAAATTGGTAGTCTGCAAGAACATGCATTGACATATTTTTGGAGGGTTAGGGCAACAATGGTGTTTCTGCCATGGTTGAGAATCGCAGCTTTGTCCGGAGATGTATCTTTGAATTTTCTCAATGTTTTTTTTTGGAGATGCATCTCTGGATTTGATTTAGGCTAAAATTTAGTTGATTTTGTGAAATTTGTAGATTTGTCCTAACATGTTATTTCTTGTGTCTCTTTGTAACGTAGTTGCAATGACTGAGAAGAACCCTGACAGAAGTAGGCTATGCCGTGTGTCCTAACTCGCGTCGATACTACATGAGAGGACCGCAACCAGGATGACGAGGCCACAAGTCGATGATAACTAGTTTGATGATTCGCAGCACTGAGGTTTCCAACCATCTGGTTCTATTTCTCGTAGTCGCCTCTCTCAAACATCTACTTCCCCGAGCCACGAGTCGCCAAATGATGCAGCAGAACGTGAAGTCCCTGAAGCCCAAAAAGAAGTTGCGACCGATGCCCTTTTAGAGAATTACCAAGGAGGACCATTTGAAACATCCTTACTTCATCTCTATGTAGACCATATTGTTATCACTACTATGGAAAAGTCATACCACAACGGTTGGAAGAGGGATACAACCACGAACGACCAGCTATTGTGAGGTAAGGTGTTATTATATGTAAGACTCTTTCCACCACGGTGTTAGGAATATTGTGATAAACTAGGTAGTGTGCTATATATTATAACAATCAAAGTATACAACCGTTGTGATATAAAGCGAATGTTCGTGGGTTCGAAACCCAGTGATTGTGCGATTTATCATATTTTGCGCTTAATCTGTAACAACGATTGTTATAATAACCATGATTAAATACTTTTTTTCAATTTATTTTATTTTTTCACATATTACATACCTGTATTTTTTTCATAATTAACCTATATACAAAATATCAGAGCTATAAATATCATGTATATTAGAACCATACACAAAATATGTATATTATACATATATTAGCAAAATATTATCAAAATATCAAATTAAGCACCAAAATATATTTACAACCATCAAATGACAAATTCATATAGGATCACCCCCCCTTTTCAACCAACGCGTTGAAAATAAAATCCCAACGTTTACAAACGTTTTCTAAGTGATTAGGAGAGAAAGGTGTCGTGTCGTTGAACATCTACACATCTACGTAAACAAGTGAAAAAAAATTAAATATCACGTGATTTGAATTATAATAGCAAATTACTTCAACATTAATATGTTATTATAAACACATTTCATAATATATATATATATATATATATATATATATATATATATATATAAAAGTAATCCACTTATTTTGGGCTCACAAAATGTGAGTTTTTTTTTAGAGTTGTTCATATAATAGTGTCACTCCACAACTTTGTAGATTGAAAATGATTTAAAAATATTACACGCTAAGATAATTACAAATTCAATGAAAAAATTAATAAAAGTCTCATAAACATAAAAGTCACCTAGTAATGATACTTTTCAGAATAGTTACCATATTCGTCTGGAGAGATATGATGATCAATTGAAAATGATCTCTGAATAAATAATACAAGCATACATAATTAGTATTTGGTAAAACATGAAAACCAACTATAATAAAGAAACCATAATTTTAAAATTACTCACTTATGGAGGAATGATGTTAAGTAACAGTCTTTGTCCCCCCCCGGTTATCCGTGATGTTAAGAAGTCCTCAATGTTTTTGGAGTATTGCTTGTAAATCATACTCTAACTGGATCCAATAATCTATAAGTATGTGATTTATTTAATTCTATACAAACACGGTGAATGTACCTAAATGGTTAAACAAAATACAAAAAACATGTGAGAAATTATTTCTATTCAAAACAATGAATATACCATAATGAGATATACTGACGTGCATCAAACTTGTAATAACCCTACATCCAGTCATCAGTTTCCAAGAATCATATCCTTTATATCTTTAGGAAAGATGATGAAACTATTTAATTCCATTATATCTGGATCATGTTCTAACCCAAGAGTAAACATCTTGTCTTTGTTGCATATAGCGGTAGATAATATTTTGGAATATAATCCTTCAGAGGGATTCAACAACCCGTTAGCGATCTCTTTACTAATAGGGGCGGCTGAACAACTCACTTGTTTATTTGCACCACATACAACATTTCTATCAGGTAATTAATCATCATCATCACCATCTTCGTTCGTGCACTGTGGGACGGTTCCACTTATTCTCTACATCATAAAAAACACATGAACATAAAACAGAATTAACACAATATTCTCACATACACAAAACAGAATTATCATAATATTCTCACATACCGCATATAACTCTTTTATCCGTTCCATTTCTTTCCTGCGAGTTTCCCTCTCCTCTTCTAACTTCTCTTCAATTTTTTTCTTTTGAATTTCTAACTTCTTCTCAAAATCTTCTATTGTTTATTTTTGCACCTGTCTGGTGCTTTTTCTAGATGAACCAAACTACACTCTCAGGCCGATGCCCGTCTCCAACACCATGGACACACCTATTATGCTCCTTTGTTTCGATTGCTTCTACTAATATATCATATTGTGGTTCTGGAACAAAGGAACCTTCACGGGATGAGATAACCAACCAATTCTACACAACATGATAAGACATACATTATTAATTACCAGAGAAAATTAAATAACACTTAACGTATGCACAACAAGTCTTACATACAATTTTCTTAGCGATAATTCTTGAGGCCTCTAAAGTGTAGTCTCCGTTTGACCTTTGTCGAGCCCTCTTCCATTTCTCATGTCCTGATGATGGAGATGGTTCCCGATCCCGACTCATGGAGTCCACATCTCCTAGTTGTTGTCTTTTTCAGGAATCATTGTTTTCTTAAGTTTTTTGTATCCCCCACGAGACAATCTATGGGGGTATTTGTTTTTAGCCTTGTTCACCTTTCCCGCTTCACTTTTAACTTGTTTTAAACATAGGAAAAATATTAACATCCATGGTTGTATCTATAAAATGATCAGAAAATACAACTGGTACTAACCATGAACTTCTTAGAACTACAAGGCTTCACAAACTTTTTCCAAATCTTCTTGTCAAAAAAAGGATATTTCACCCACGGACGCTCAATATTAAGCTTAGGCTTCATAATATAGTCACTCGTGAGTCATGACTTAAAACTCCTCCAAGTTGTACCAACATAAGTGATCCACTCTCTTTTCAACTTTAAATCTTTACTAAACTCAAACGTCAACTACACATTTACACAATAAATATGTATTAATGTTTATATAAAGTAATGTTGAATAGATGAAACTTAAAATTGATACCTGAACGTCAGTCCATAAGCTCTATTTCACTGCTACTGTTACATCTTTCCAATCATCTAACAATATGTTGATTTTGCTACATCCAAGGAACGAAACATAACTCTTAAAAGTGAAGAATAAGGACCATCAAGAATCGTATAAATGGCTCTAAACTCAATTGGAAGTCTGACACCTTACTTGCAGACTTTTGTTAATTTAACCATCATTGTGGCACCTCTTTGTTTTTTTGTCATCTGCCTACAGATTAAGAATCGTTTGAATTGGTTTTGAATACGTAGCTTTGTTGCTACTAGATGAAGAAGAAGCAGAGGCCATCTATCAAGACATAAAACAATCAACATTAGGATACAAACATAATTCACAATAGCATCATCAATACAATGGCATCATCAGCAACAATGACATCATCAATACAATGGAATCAACAACGATAAATATATAAGCATGTAAATAATCATCAACAACAACAAATACATAAACAACAATGGCATCATCAACAATAATGACATC